CAGTCCCTGTCCTCAAGGAGCTTACATTCGAATATAAGAGTTGGGAAGTTGGGGAGGGGATGAAGATGGCCAAGGAGTAGAAGAATGGTGCAGCTGGCTAGTTCGAGTGGACACTCATCAGTCAGGGGTCCAGAGCAGAGCTAGTGTGCCCAGTCAGAAGTGGAGGCTGGATCAAAAGAGCATGGTATGACCATGGACTTCAGTGGCCTTCACAGGTCACTGCAGTATATGGGTTTCTGGTACAGTATTGATGCTTCTGGGTAGAGGCAAAAGGAGGCTGCCAACAGGTGTGCTCTCCTTGTGTTTGTTTTCTTTTGCAATGCCAGCCATTCATTAAAAGTGTTTCCAGTCCTCTGCCTGGAATCCAGATGCCTAGAATGGATGGACTAGATGGACCCTTGTCCTGGGTACTACCAAAAAACGCAGATTTTGTGCAAACCACTTTCGTTGTTGTTTAGTTGTAGGATGCTTTGTGACCCCATCTGGAGTTTTCTTGGCAAAGATGCTGGGGTGGTTTGCCATTTCCTTCTCCAGCTCATTTTACAGATGAGGAAACTGAGGCAAACAGGGTTAAATCCCTTGTCCAGGATCACACAGCTAGGAAGTGTCTGAGGTCAGATTTGAACTCAGGTCTTTCTGACTCCAGGCCTAGCACTCTATCCACTGTACTACCTAGCTGTCCATGTAAACCCCTTATGTACAATTAAAACCCTAATGGACTAGCGTGAATTTAAATGAGTGTTTTCCATTTCTCAGTCAGCTGGTTATTTCTCCAGGCTATCCCTAGAATGGACATATCCAAGATGTCAAGCTAACAAAACTGCTGGTTCCTATCATAATTTCCAAAAAAACCAATGTCTTGGAGGAAGTCCATTTTATTCTCTTTTCTCTGCTTTCCTGGTCCTAGGTGGCTAGGACTCTCAGCAAAATTCATTATTTTTTCCCTTCATTTACCATCATGAAGAACTTAGCCCCCTAGGTAATCATCATCAGCGCCAAACACCACCCACAGCATCATGAAGGACACTTCCTGGTTGGGTCACCATGGGCAAGTCACTTAACCTCCCTGTTTATCTTCTATAGATAGAAGACAATAATGGTACCTACCTCCCAGGGTCATTGAGAAGCTTAGATGAGATCATGTAGATGAAGCACTTAATAAGCCTCAAAATGCCATGGAGATGTCAATATTTGTTATGAAACAGTGACAGATGTGCAACTGTTTAGTGAGTTTAATAAGTCTTACTTCAGCAGCAGAACCCGGCTAGAGATTCTGTATCCTCGGATCAGGACTCTTTTGGCAAATGGGATCCAATTTGGCCTATTTTTAAACATTCATTTTTAAATATTGAGTTACAAATTATCTCCCTCTTTCCAGCCTCTCCCCCACCAACTAAGAAGGCATGCAATATGATACCTATTATACTTGTGAAGTCATGCAAAACGTATTTCCATATTAGCCATTTGAACAAAAGCAAGAAAAATAAAGTGAAAATGCTTCATTCAGCACTCAAAGTTCATCATTTCTCTCTAGTTTTTTTTTGTTGATTATATAGAGTTCTCTAAGTATGCCATCATATTATTTGCAAAGAGTGATACTTTTGTTTTCTCATTGCCTAATTCTTATTCCTTCAATTTCTTTCTATTGTCTTATTGCTGTAGCTAACATTTCTAGTACAACACTGAATAACAATGGTGATAATGGGCATTCTTACTTCACCCCTGATCTCTTATTGGGGAGGTTTCTAATTTATCCCCATTACAGATAATACTTGCTCTTGGGTTTAGATACTTACTACTTATAATTTTAAGAAAAGCTCTGTTTATTTTGATGCTTTCTGGTATTTTTAATAGGAATGAGTGTTGCATTTTGTCAAAAGCTTTTTTTTTGCAGCTTTTAAGATAAGCATATGATTAATGTTTTTGTTATCGATCAGTCAATAATGATTATAGTTTTCTTAATGTTGGCTATCTATCAATGGTTTGGGAAAAGCTTTTATTAAGTACTTACTATGCACAAAGTGGGGCAGGTAGGTGGCTCGGAGGATAGAGTTCTGGGCCTGGAGTCAGGAAGACTCATCTTCCTGAGTTCAAATCCAGACTCAGACACTTACTAGCTGTGTGACCCTGGGTAAGTCACTTAACTCTGTTTGCCTCAGTTTCCTCATCTGTAAAATGGACTGGAGAAGAAATTAGCAAACCACTCTAGTATCTTTGCCAAGAAAACCACAAATGGCGTCACAAGGAGTCAGACATGACTGAACAACAACAGCAGCAATGCACAGAGCAAATCGGCAGCACAATGGAGTGGATAGACAGTTGGTCTCAAAGACATGAGTTCAAATCTCACCTCTGTTATCTATTGGGTATGTGACCCAGGGCAAGTCACTCAACCTCTCAGTGCTCTAGATAGCTCTCTAAGACTATAAAATTACACTGACTGTGCTGACCTGCACTGGTAAAGGGAGTTTCCTCACCTGGGAGTTCCAGATACCAATGAAATCATAGGCTCTGTCCCTATTCCTATTAAAAGATCTAGGGGAAGGTTTCCTGTATGAAGGATTTATGGGATTAAATGGAGAAAAACCACATAGAACAAGTACAGAGAGATAGAGAGCTATTCCAGGGAGTGAGTGGACACATCAAGGAGACCCCAAATCCATTGTTTTTAAAGCATTTATTGAGAAGATTCTGGGAAAGTAGCAAAATAGGGCAGGAAATACCCAGCTCTCCAAATTTCTCCCCACAAACAAGATGCAATATGGCCTCAAAGTGAACTTTAAGCTGCAGAAATAATTAAAAATTGATGTAAAGCGATTGTCCTCCTAAGACAATTTCAGAGGATCTTGGAAAAGACCTGACTTCCAGGGGTGGAGATCTGGCCCAATTGAAATGCAAACACCTCCAGGCAGACTCCACTGTCCTGGGGCAGCTGGGTGGAGAACTTTCACCTTACGGACAGTGTGGGGAGTCAGATGGCTAAGCAGTGGACTACTGAAGGACTCTCTTCTCTCCCTGGACTCAAGGGCCAATTGTGCTGACCAGGCTGCAGCTGTGGGTGAGGAGTGAGCACATGCCTGGTGAGTATGGCAGCAGAAGGCAGGGACCCTGCTGACTGTGGGCACTCCAGGAGAAAGAAGTCCCTGGTTTTAGTTCCAGGGTAGAGGAGCGAGCTGAAGTTTGTAGCTGTGGGAGGGACCACAAAGAGCAAGAGCATTTGTGGGTGACAGTGTGGCTGGGTGCCCTAGGCATGGCCTAGGGGTAGAGAAGACCCCCCAGATAGAGCTCAGAAAACAACCTGAAGCCTGAGCCATCATCCCCCACCTCTCAGGGCAAGAGCTTGACTATAATAATAAGCCACTAAAATAATTAATAACAGCAATAATAATAAGTAAGCAAAAGAGAAAGAACTCAACTATAGATAGTTATTATGGGGATAGAGAAGATCTGGGTTCATACTCAGAAGACAATAGTGAAGTTAAAAAAGCCATTCCTACTTCAAAGAAAAAAGAGTTCTTAAAAGAGCCTAATAAGGACTTTAAAGATCAAATAAAAGAGATTGAGGCAAAATTAGAAAAAAAAATAAGAACAATCCAAAAAAATCAATAAAACTATGAAAAGAAAATCAATCAATTGGAAAAGAAATTTAAAAAAATTAAGGAAGAAAATAACTCCTTAAAAACTAGAATTAGGCAAGGGGAAGCTAATGACATTATAAAACATAAAGAAATAATAAAACAAAATCAAAAGAGTGAAAAAATAGAAGAGAATGTGAAACATCTTATTAGGAAAAAACTGATCTAGAGAACAGATCAAGGAGTGACAATGTAAGAATTGTTAGACTATCTGAAAATTATGATTTTAAAAACAGTCTAGCTGTGATATTACAAGAAATCATTAAAGAAAATTGCCCTGAAGTTCTAAAATGAGAGGATAAAATCGAAATAGAAAAAATCCAGCAATCACCATCTGAAAGAGACCCCAAGATGAAAACTCACAGGAATATCATAGCCAAGTTTTGAAGCATTCAAGTTAAGGAGAAAATACCACAAGCAACATGAAAAAAAAATTTAAATACTGTGGAGCTACAGTCAGGATTACACGAGATCTAGCAGCTTCTCCATTAAAAGACTGAAGGGCTTGGAATATTATATTTTGAAAAGCAAAGGAGGTGAGTTTGTGACCAAGAATAACTTACTCAGCTTTGCTGAGTATAATCCTGAACAAAGAAAAAGAAAGGATATTTAATGAATTGAAAGACTTTTAGAAATTCATGACAAAGAGACGAGAACTCAGTGAAAAATGTGACATATAAAATCCAGGAGAAACAAAAGGTAAATATTAAAGACCTATTATAAGGGGCTCAATAAGGTCAAATTCTTTACTTCTTATATGGGTAAATGTTATCTGTGCTCTTAAAAAGGTTATCATTATTTAGGCAGTTTGAAAGAGCATATATAGATAGAAAGCTTGGGGTTGAGTTGAATATGATGGGATGATTCTAAAAAAATAAAATTGGGTAGAGAGAGGTAACATGAAGCAGTTATCTCATACAAATGACGCATGAATGGAAGAGCTGTTACAGTGGAAGCAGATGGGGTTGGAGGACTGGTAATGCTGGAACCTTATTCTCATTGGAACTGGGTTAAAGAGAGAATAACATACACATCTAGAAGGATATAAAAGTCTTCTAAATTATAAAGAAATAGGAGGGTGAGGGGACAGGATAAGGAAGGGACTTTTAGAAGGGAGCGTAGATCAAGAAGTAAGAGGGTGGGGAGAGAGGATAAGAGGAATTCTTAGAGGGGTGGGTAGATTAAGGAATAGGAGGGTAAGGGGAGAGGATAAAGGAGAAATTCTTAAAAAGAGTGTGTATTATTAAGGAGGTAGTATTAGAAGTAAATCAGAATATGAAGAGAGATTGGGTAAAAAAGAGAGTGAGAATACATCTTCCTCCTGTTCATCCTTCACCTGTCATGCCTGACATCTACCTGCTAGCCATGGACCCCAAATGTAACTGCGAGAATGGTGGCTCTTGCACCTGTGCAGGCTCCTACAAATGCAAATTATGCCAGTGTGCCTCCAGCAAGAAGAGCTGCTGCTCCTGCTGCCCAGGAGAATGTACCAAGTGGGCCCAGAGCTGTGTCTGCAAAGACCCCCTGACCCAGAGTTGCAGCTGCTGCCAATAATGTCCTCACTTCCCTTTGACTGTAAATAGAAGAATTTGTGCAGACTTGAATTTTCGTACTGCATGGATGTGTTTTCTACTGTTTTTCTATGAAATGTATGAATTAAAATAAACTTGATAAATACCTTTAAAAACAAAGTAAAAAATTAAAAAGAGAGTGAGAAAGATGATAATGAGGAAAAATAGGATGGAGGGAAATACACAAGTAATAATTATAACTTTGAATGTGAATGAAATGAACTCACCCATGAAATGGAAATGGATAGCAGAATGGGTTAAAAATCAGAATCAACAATATATTGTTAACAAGAAACAGATTTTAAAGTGAGAGATGCACACAGAGTTAAAATAAGGAGCTGGATTAGAATTTATTATGCTTTAGCCAAGGTAAAAAAAAAAAGCAGGGGACAAAGTTTAAACTAAATTAGATTTAATTAAAAGAGATAAAGAGGGAAACTACATTATGATAAAAGGTACCATAGAAAATGAAGCAATATCAATACTAAACCTATATGTACTAAATCCTAAATTTTAAAGGAAAAATTAAATTAATTATAAGTGGAAATAGATAGTGATACTATAATAGTGGGGGACTTGAACCTCCCCCTCAAAGAATTAGATAAATCTAACCAAAAAATAAGAAAGAAATTAAGGAGGTGAATAGAATCTTCGATAAGCTAGATATGATAGCTATCTGGAGAGAATTGAATGGGAATAGAAAGGAGCACACCTTTTTTTCTCTGTGGCACAAGGTACTTTTACAAAAATTGACCATATATTAGGGCATAAAACTATAGCTAAATGCAGAAAAGCAGAAATATTAAATGTATTCCTTTCAGGTCACAGTGCAATAAAAAGTATATTCAATAAGGGACCACGGAAACACAGATTAAAAATTAACTGGAGACTAAACAACCTAACCTTAAAAAAATGAGTGGGGTAAAGAACAAATCATGGAAACAGTCAATAATTTCATTAAAGAGAATGACAATAATGAGACTACATATCTCAATCCATGGGGTGCAGCAAAAGCAGTAATTAGAGGAAAATTTTTATCTCTAAATGCTTATATTAATAAAGTAAAGAGTAGACCAATGAATTGGGTATACAATTTTAAAAACTAGAAAAAGAATAAATTAAAAATCCCCAATTAAATACCAAATTGGAAATCTTAAAAATTAAGGGTGAGATTAATAAAATCAAATATAAGAGTCATTATCAAAACTATCTAGTACTGGCCAAGAAGTAGAAAGGTACATCAGTGGAACAGAGTAGACATGCAATACATGGTAGAACATGGTTATAGTAACCTTGTGTTTGACAAATGTAAACATTTAAGCTTTTGGAATAAGGATTCATTATTTGGTAAAAATTGTTGGGAAAGCTGGAAAGCAGTCTGAAGGAAATTGGGCATAGACCAATATCTTACACCATTTACCAGGATCAGGTCAAAATGGATAAGTGACTTAGATATAAAGGGAGATGTTATAAGAAAATTAGAAGAACATGGAACATATTACCTGTTAGATTTATGGATAGGAGAACAATTTATGACCAAACGACATAGAGAATATGGTGAGGTGTAAAATGGATAATTTTGATTACATCAAATTAAAAAGATTTTGTACAAATAAAACTGATGTAGCCAAGATTAGAAGGAAAATAGAAAATTGGAAGAAAATCTTTGTAGACAGTTTTTCAGATAAAGGTATTATATCTCAAATATATAAAGAACTTTGTCCAATTTATAAGAATACGAGTCATTCTCTAATTGGTAAATGGTCAAAGACATGACAGGGAGTTTTTCAGTGAAGAAATCAAAACTATATATAATCATATAAAAATGCTCTAAATCACTATTGATTAGAAAATGCAAATTAAACCAACTTTGAGATATCATCTTACACCTATCAGATTGGCTAAAATATTAGAAGGGGAAAGCAACAAATGTTGGAGGAGATGGGGAAAAATTGGGACATTAATTCACTGTTGCTGGAACTGTGAACTGATCTAACCGTTTTGAAGAGAAATCTGGAACTATGTCCAAAGAGTTATAAAACTATATGTATCCTTTCACCCAGCAATACCACTATTAGGTCTGCTTCCCAAGGTGGCTAGGGAAAAAGGAAAAGCACTTATATTTCTAAAATATTTATAGCAGCTTTTTTTGTGGTGCCGAAAAACTGGAAACTCATCAATTGGGGAATAACTAAATAAGTTGTGGCATATGATTGTGATGGAATACTACTATGCTATTAGAAATGATAAGTTGGTTGATTTTAGAAAAACATGGAAAGATTTGCATGCAATAATGAAGAATGAAATGAGCAGATCCAAGAGAATATTGTATACAGTAATAGCAATATCATTCTAAGAACAACTTTGAAGGACTGAGTCATTTTGAGTACTATAAATACTCAAATCAGCTACAAAGGACCTGTGAAGGAAGATATCCATATCTAGAGAAAGAACTGATAAATAGAAGTGTGTATAGTATGATTATATATGATATAATAGATGTATATATATACATATATACACATATATTTGTCTCTAATGATAGCTTTCTCTAAGGCAGGGTAGGGAGGGAAAGAAATAAAAAAAAGTGCACAGAAGATGGCAGAGTAAAAAGCAGTGACTTGCTTGAGCTCTTCCCCAAACCCCTGCAAATACCTGTAAAAATGGCTCTAAATAAATTCTAAAGCAGCAGAACACACAAAAAGATAAAGTGAAACAAATTTCCAGCCCAAGACAACCTGGATGGTTGATTAGAAAGGTCTATTGTGCCAGGCTAGGAGAGAAACACAGTTCAATGTGGGCATACAGTCAAAGACCAGGCCTCAGAGAATCTGGAGCAGTCCTCAGAGGACTGAATCACAGGCAGCTGTGGTAGTTTCTAGACTTTTCAACACATGAACACCAAAGAGAACTTAGAAGGTCAATAGGAAAAGTCTGTGACCACAGTGAGAAAGAAGCTTGGTCCCAGCCCCAGTCCCATTGCAACCCTGGAGTGGCAGCTGCTTCCAGAGCTCTCTACCCACAGACTTAGGAGGAATCAAGTGACTGATCAGAGAGGGATTGCAGGGATCTCTTTGCTGGTGCAGGATTCTCTTGCTTTGCTCATGCTTGGATCTGGGGCACAGTTCTGGGTGGCGGTCCTAGGATGAGGAGGAGCACTGGCATGGTGGAGCTTGTAGTGGCAGTGGAGAGGGAATCCTCCTTATGATACCAAGACAGAAAAGAGTATTTGTGGTCACTCATCAACCAGAGCACAGGCCAGGAGAGGAGTAAACACCTTGCCCCTGATTGTAACACCTTGGAAGAACTGAAAATTTACAGGTCCCTAGAAGTATCTCTGAAAACAGTTGCACAACACCCCCAAAGCTTGGGACTGTACATTCTCCACACTGGAAACAGACCCCTGTCTTAACAAAGAGTTTATAACTCAAGTAATTGGCTGGGATCATGAGCAAACTGCACAAAAATAGTCAGACCGTAGAATCTTTCTTTGGTGACAAAGAAGATCAAAACATACAACCAGAAGAAGACAACAAAGTCAAAGCTCCTACATCCAAAGCCTCCAAGAAAAATATGAATTGTTCCCAGGCCATGGAAGAGCTCAAAAAGGATTTTGAGAAGCAAGTAAGAGAAGTAGAGGAAAAACTGGGAAGAGAAATGAGAAGGATGCAAGAAAATCATGAAAAAAGAGTCATCAGCTTGTTAAAGAAGAATACTGAAGAAAATAACACCTTAAAAAATAGCCTAACCCAATTGGCAAAAGAGGTCCAAAAAGTCAATGAAGAGAAAAATGCCTTAAAAAGCAGAATTGGTCAAATAGAAAAGGAAGTCCAAAAGCTCACTGAAAATAATACTTCCTTAAAAATTAGAATGGAGCAATCGGAAGCTAGTGACTTTATGAGAAATCAAAAAACTGTAAAACAAATTCAAAAGAATGAAAAAATAGAAAACAATGTGAAATATCTCTTTGGAAAAACAACTGACCTGGAAAATAGATCCAGGAAAGATAATTTAAAAATTATTGGACTATCTAAAAGCTATGATCAAAAAAAGAGCCTAGATATCATCTTTCAAGAAATTATCAAGGAAAACTGCCCTCGTATTCTAGAACCAGGGGGCAAAATAGAAATTGAAAGAATCCACCGATCACCTCCAGAAAGAGATCCCCAAAGGAAAACTCCTAGGAATATAGTAGCCAAATTCCAGAGCTCCCAGGTCAAAGAGAAAATATCGCAAACAGCCAGAAAGAAACAATTCAAGTATTGTGGAAACACAATCAGGATAACACAAGATTTAGCAGCTTCTACATTAAAGGATCTCAGGGCATGGAATATAATATTCTGGAAGGCAAAGGAGATGGGATTACAACCAAGAATCACCTACCCAGCAAAACTGAGTATAATCCTTCAGGGGAAAAAATGGTCATTCAGTGACATAGAGGACTTTCAAGCATTCTTGATGAAAAGACGAGAGCTGAATAGAAAATTTGACTTTCAAATACAAGACTCAAGAGAAACATGAAGAGGTAAACAGGAAAGAGAAATCATAAGGGACTTATTAAGGTTGAACTGTTTACATTCCTGCATGGAAAGATGATATTTGTAACTCATGAGACTTTTGTCAGTATTAGGGTAGTTGGAGGGAAAAAGTTATATGTATAGATAAATAGGTAGATAGATAGAGAGATAGATAGATAGGTAGATAGATAGATAGATAGGTAGATAGATAGATAGATAGATAGATAGATAGATAGATAGATAGATAG